GGAACCTTCCCCCAGTGCCTGCCCCGCCGCGGGCCCCTCTCTCCGCGCGCCTCCCGCCCGTGCCCAGTCCTCTGCGGGGCGCCTTGGAGAAGTGGGGTCCCTGGGTCCGGGCGGCCTGTGAGAACCCAGGGCCCGCGGCACACACACTGGGTGGTCCTTTGGGGTCCCCCCTGGTGGGTGACGCTGCCAGGGTTGGGAAATGGTGACCTCCCCCCTCTTCTTGAGCTCTAGGCCCTCGGCCACCTGGGACTTCGGGTCCATGTTTACCCTTTTGGCTCGCTTTCGTGTTTCCAGATGTCCGGAGGCAAACTCTAGCGCCGTGGCAACAGCACAGTTGTCCTGGCAGACGCAGTGGCGGCTGTTGCCATGCTTATTATAATTAGCATCTCTCCCAATGCCACCGGGCGGCCCATCTTATTTCTTTGAATTCTTCTAGTGGCCCCCGGAGGCAGATACTGTTGTTCACCCATTTCATAGAGGAGTGGCCAGCTCAGGGAGGAGACAACTTACTGCCCCAAAGTCAGTGCCAGAGGGAGGACTTGAACCTCTCTGTATGCTGCCCGTGCCCCATTTCTCCCTGATAACCTTCCCCCTACAGCGCCCAGGAGGTCTCTAACCTCGGGTGACCCTCTCATACCACCTGCGCCCTCCTGGCTCCCTGTGCTGTCAGTAGACTGAGGCACGCCCCGTCCTCAGCACCCTCCTTGGGGCATGAGAGCTGGACTTTCTGGCTGTGGGGCGACTGAAGAATCATTTACGAGGGTATAGCTGGGGTGTTGCACCTTGATGTCTTTAAAGATACCAGTTTGGTTCCTTCAGGTTTGTCCACAGGAAATCAGTCATGATGAGGAAGGGGTTGGGAGAGGAGGGACTGAAGCCCCTGAGTTCCCGAGTGGCGAATGAGGAGTATGAGGAAGCACACAGGCTCTGGAGTTGACAAAGTGGGCTTGCTGGGCACCTCTGCCAATCACACAATGTCTCAAAGCCCTCAGCGCCTGGTATACAGTAGGCATTCAAACAGGGTTCCTGCTAAGAAAGTACAAGACGCATTGTTCGACCTCCCCAGGTTTTGTGTCTGGGTGCACACGTTCCTGTGTGGTTCCCTGCTCCTCTGGTCCTCGCAGCTTTGGTGATTAATTGTGGGTTTGTGCCTGGGCTTCCAGGGGTCAGTAGATGGCACATCACTCCTTTACGGGGTTAGTTTCCACCAGGGCAGAGCTTTATGTTCCTTCTGTCCACTGCAGCATGTCCAGAGCCTAGAACAGAGCCTTAGGTGTCCGCTAAATGTTTGTTCTTGATTTAGCTCCTGTCCTCATGCTCCCTGGGCGCTCCTTTCTCTCCAGACAACACTGAACTAACAGTAATAGCAAATACTTGGTGGGTGGGTGCTGTGATATTAGCTTTGCATATATAATTTCAGTCAATCCTCGTCACAGCCCTATGAGATAGAGTTTATTATTCATTTCCCAGAAGGTGAGGAAATTGATTAGGTTACAGAGCCAACAGGTAGCAGAGCTGGGATTAGAACCCCAGCTAGTCTGTCTTCAGAGCACTGGTTTCTTTCTTCTTCTTTTTTTAATCCTCAGCTGAGGATATATTTTTGTTTTAATTGATATTTATAGAGAGAGGAAAGGGGCAGGGGAGAGAGAGAGAGAAAGAAATATAGATGTGAGAAAGAAACATCGATTGGTTGCCTCCTGTACGTGCCCCAAACCGGGGAGTGAGCCTGCAACCTTTTGGTGTATAGGAGGACACTTCAACCTACTGAGCCACCCGTCCACGGCACTGGTTTCCTACAAAGCAGTTCCTTGGGGTCTGGGCCTCTGCACCCTAGCCCTGCAGTAATGGTTAACAAAAGCCTAACGGATGAATAAGAGCATACCCCTGCAGGTTGGGGACAGGGAGAAACTCTACAGATCACTCATCTCTGATGTCAATCAGTGGGGCATCCTGGCTAGGGTGAGGGCGGAGGGAAATCATTGTGAGTGTTAAGGAATGAGGGGCTCTTTCTCAAAGTTGTCACCCCAGTTCATCTTCTGTGGAATCCCTTGTTGCTTTTCTGAACTGGCAACGGCTTCCCTATTTCTCCTTGGGTTAGCTGGCTCTGGCCCAACAACACCCGCGGCCATCGCACAGTCAGAAAGCGAAGGTAATGTGGGATGAAGCACAATAAAAGCCTACAGAGCTTTGCAGGGGTCCAGTGCTCATTGAGGTGGGAGACCCTTGCTTCCAGAACCCCTAATTTTTCACGGCAGCATGAGATGTTTCTGGTGTCTTCTCTCGTGAGCTCCAGGACCCTGAGAACAGAACGACCTCCTGCTCATTCACCTCCCTGGGGCTATTCCTAACCTTTGCTTCTCTCCTGAGACCTGCCCCTTGTTCCCGCCAACTCACTCATAGAGGCCATTGGGGTGAGCCCCTGGGGTCCCCACCTACCCCATCATTGACTTCCATCCTCATTTGATTAGAACACGTCCTCTCAGTGTCGGTGGTTTTGCCGTTGGGTTTGGATAGCCTTGCTGGTGGGGCTGCCCTGTGCGGTGTACGATGTTGAGCAGCATCCTGGTCTCCACCCACTAGATGACAGTAGCACCTCCACTTCCAGTCCTGCCCACCAGCCATGTGTCTCCAGACATGGTGTCCAATAGAAAGCCACTGCATTGGGAGAGAACTTTTTTCTCATCTAGTGCCCTGGCCCACCTGGGTCCCTGCCGTCTCCCCTGTTTGTTCAGGGATTTCCATCTGCCTGGGAGCCTTACTCTTTCCTCTGAACCCCATTACCCACCACCCACCTCTGGCCTTGCCCTGCCATCTCCCCCCACCACCCCCAATCGCTGTCTAGCCTTTAACCCAATGCTCTACCCACTGCATCTGGCTTGTGTCTCCATTGCTCTGTTGATGGCTCTAGAGATGGTAATGCCTCGCCCTAATTTTGTTTCTTGCAGCCTTACCCCAGTCAACCTCTCTGTTTGCCACTGCCCATTCCCTCCTGGAAGGCACTGATTCCTGGCAAATTTTCACCTGCTATGGGCTCTCCTGGTTCTTTCTCTTCCCCTCCCCTGTTCTCTTCTTGGGCTAAGATGATGTCAGCGCTCTCTCCATAGTGGGCCAATTCCCTACTCTGATCCTCTTTTTACATTTATATATGGTCAAACTCTTTCATCTAGAACAGGAGCCAGCAAACTGAAACCAGAGGGCCGAATCCTGCTCACCATGCCTGCTTTTGCAAATAAAGTTTTATCGATAGGAGCCACACTCATTCATTTATACATTACCTATGGCTGCTTTTGTTCTCCAACGCAGAGGATTTTGTGATCGCATGGCCTGCAAAAATATTTACACTTGGGCCTTTTACAGAGAAAGTTTGCTGACCCTTGATTTGGGACAAATTCCTTGAGGGTCAGGATGACATGCCTAATAGCTCCTATGGTCTTTGGTACAACTTGAATGAATCAAGTTAAGTGAAGCATCCAGGAGTGCTGTGGTTTTCCTTTACAGAAGCCCTATCAAAGAAATTTATGTATTTGCTGTGCTGAAAATACGGGTTCCGATGGTGAGAAAATAAGTGATGTCCCCTCATTAGCTGAGTGTGTGATCTTAGGATTTATTTATTTCAAGTCATCTTGGCATTGAAAGGATTCTGCACCATCAGCTCTGTCTCCAGAGCCCAAAAGAAAGTGGTGTCTGCTATGAGGTTTTCTTTCAAGAGCCCTTGTGTTCATTTCCATTAAGAATAAGTCAGGGATGGTTAGTTTATGTTTTGCAATCAGACCGAACTTATGTGTTTTAGGATTAGAATAATGACAAGTAATGCATTCTCATTGCAAAAATAAAAAAAAGTATAGAGGGGGGAAAACAAGTTATCAGTTTTGCATGTATCTTTCTAAATTTTTAAAAATTTCATACAGTAGAATTGACTCTTTTTTTGGTGCGCAGCTTTTAATTGTAAACGATGCCTAGTGTTGCGTGGTGGTCCCCGCAGTCAGGATCCACAACAATCTCTTCCATCGCTGCCTAAACTCCCTTGGGCCACCCTTTGTCATTACACTGTCCCCACCCCTCATCCCTCCGCCTCATCCCCGCCAACACTGATCTGTTCTTCCCCAGTTTCCTCCTGACTTTAAAAAATATCTTATAATTGGTTAATATTCCTAAAATTGAAAATTTTAATTTAAGTGCTCATAAGCTCCTCATTATTCCCGGATTTCATGTTTGTGAATTCGCCTGCTTGCTGGCATGCATTTGTAACTCTCTCGTCAACATCCAGAGCACCTGTGTGGTCACTCCCAGACGCCCAGTGCCGTGGAGTTGGACTTGACAGTAGTACCCGAGGTCAGCCATGGCGGCTCTGCTCTCCCGTTTCAGCTCTCCTCGCGTGATTCACACAGTCCTCAAGAATTCAGACAAGTGCCCTTCTTGTGATATATTGAGTGCTATGGTTTTCTCATTTTTGTGCTTTTTGTTGGTGATTGTGTTGTTTTATGTGGCCCCATGCACAGTACGGAGGTGCTGTCTAGTGTTCATAAGCGTGAGAAGGCTGCAGGGTACCTCACAGAGAAACTCGTGTGTTGGGTAGGCTTTGCTCAGATGAGCTATAGTGCTTCGTGCTTAGTGCTGAATCAATAACGTCTATGAATTAAGGTGTTTCATGGAGGGGTGCCCTTTGCTCACTAGACCCTGGTCTTTTATTGGGGGGCGGGGGTGCCCCAGTGGCTTTTGGGATTTTCTTTCCAATAATGAGCTTTTCTGTTTTGTGTTGCCAAACGTCAACAGGGTATGAGTTCCAATTTGAGTTTAAGGCAGGCTTGTGAGGATTAAAATTCGATTTCAAATCTGGGTTTTTCTTGCAACTCCATAAGGGTGTGTTGTCATGTCACAGTTGCACACCCTGTTTTGTATTCCCAGGAGATGCTTGCTTCTCTCCCATGCCTCTGTGAGAATGTGGAAAACGGGTACTTGCCCCAAACTGCGTCCTTTAACGTTGTGGGGAAGATAGTGGTTGGACACAGAGGGATGAAGACAGTGGGGCCGCTGTTTTCTGAGGCCTTTCCATGATTCTTTGTTGCCAGTTGTTTTCAGAGATGAGTCCACCTTGCAGAAGGTCAGAGAAGGGATGTGCTCGGAGATGTTCCTTTCTAGTTGTGCTCAGGCCGCTGGCTCCGTCCCCCTGTGTGAACGGGACTCCTGAAGATGGGTGGGGCCTGAGATTTGATGTGTGATGTCCTTAGGGTTACAAAACTGTGGTACTGCCTGGAGGAGTTGCCTTGGTTGTTCCTAGGTTTTCCAAAGTTTTCAGCTATAGAAGGTGTGGGTGTCAGGGTGACTACAGGTCTTTGGTCTCCTCTCTAGTTCCCTGTCCTTAAACATTGTGCTCCCCCAACCCCCACCTCTCATCCTTTTTTCCTCTCTCTCAGTTGTTCCATCTCCTCCTGTTTATTTCACCTATTGTCACCACTTCCACCGGCACTCACTTGCCCCTTTCCCCAAGCTCCAGACCCACACCTTCCCAGCAACCGAGCACCCCAAAGCCCTCACACACTCAACATGCCCCCAAACCGAGCCTCTTGTCCTTGCCCCCCAAAACTGGACCTGTATCAGCCTCTCTGGGTTCATCGGTGACTTCCCTTCTCCTTCCTCTCTTCCACCTCTCTGAGGACCAAGTCCCGTTGATTCTAGTTCCCCAGCCTCGCCACAGTCTCGCTCCTCTTCCTGGACCCACCTCCTAAGAGAGACCACCTAGGCCAGGCCAGACAGTGGTGGTTCCAGCGTGCCCCTTTCTTTCCTTCTCCACTCGGCTGCCACAGTGATTTTTCTACTAAACTCCTTCCGTAGGTTCCAGCTAGATCCCTTTCCTTGGCATCTGCATGCAGTCTTGCTTCCCGAAGCACATGGCTGCAGCTCCCGGGGTTCTCTGCCCTTCCTGTCTACACTTGCGTTTTTTGTGCTCTGCACATCCTTCTTCTCCCTTTGCGCCCAGTCACCTGCTTCTTCCTCACAGAAGCTGGTCAGAGGTCTCCTTCCATTCTCACCCGGCTTCCTTATCCACCCTTCTCATTCCCTTTCAGCACAGACTGGGAGTACCACTCTGGGCCCCCGGAAGCATTGGTCTGCTCATTGATGATGTGTCCTAGAACCCTCTGGTCATTGGCCACTCATTTCCTCTCCCCAAGGACAGTCTGTTTGCAATTTTCTGTTTTGGTACATGTTTACCTTTCTAGAGACGAGTGTTTGCACATATAAGCTGATGTATCTATTTCCATATAAGTAATAGCATATCGCACAGATTGGTCATCTTGTTCTTTACCATTAAGATTATATTCTGGAGATCTTTCTGTATCGCCGTAAGGAGCCGCCTTGCTCTTCTTTACAGCTGTGTGGTATTCCGTCTCATCAGAGTCTGGCAGAGCCCATGGGCCACATGTGGTGCACCACCCGCTTTTATACAGGTGTCCACATTTTTAAGTGGTTGGATAAAAACTCCAACTGTGATTTTGTGACATGTGTAAATTATATGAAATTTGAATTTCATGGTCTCTAAATAAAGTTTAATTGGAGCACAAGCATGCCACGTGTTGCCATGGTTTAGCGCTACAAGGACAAAGTTGAGTAGTGACCGAGGTGGTGTGTCCCACAAAACCAAAAAGATTTGCTCCCTGGCCCATTACGGAGAAAGTTTGCTGACCCCTGCATTCTGTCACTGGTTCTTGCACCTGAGCACGCTTCCAGGTCACCTGGAGGGTGTGGTGAAATGCAGATCCCTGGGCCCTGCGCTCCTGGAGTTTCTGATGGAGCAGGTCTGGAGTGGGCCTGCGAATTTGCATGTCTAACAGGTGGTCAGTTGGAGCGAATGCTGCTGGTCCCAGGACCCTGCTTTGAGAACGACTGCATCACGTGGGCGGATCATCATTGATTTAACCCGCCCCCTTTTGATGGACAGCGATGTTGTTTCCATCTTTGGCCATATGGACTGTGCTGGGTTGGATGACCCGGCACAAGGCTCATATTGCGTCCCTGCCTGCAGCGGATTGCCAGAACAGGAATCTTTGGGGACTGTAAGGCTCTCACCTTATCTATTTTGACAGCCTCCGTGCCCAGCACGATGCCCAGCACACATTTGTTGAGCGGATAAAGGATGATTTCCACGTGGCTGACTGCAGTTCTGGAACCGCCTCCTTTGCGGAAGTCAGTTTTAAGAGCCGGTCTTTCAGGCAGGCAGAGAACCAGAAGGGTCTCTGATAATGTGGTGTGCCCGAGTTTTAGTTTCTAAAGATGATAAATCTGGGAGTTGGTTCCATGTAGCTCCAAGGGGACAACGAAGCTCACTTCTCTTCTACTCCTCATGGCTTTGAATGTGCTGTTGTCATCGTTTACGGCAATTGAGGATGTGGCCCAGGCTCACGCGGCTGGCAGGTGTCAGTGCTGGCGTGGGAAGTCAGATCTGTTGGGTTTCTGCTGTGCCCCAAACTGGTCCGTGTGGTGGCCTGGCCCCTGAACCCAGGCTTATTGGTGCAGGACCCCTGGATTTTGGAGAGAGCAGTGTTAAGACTGGAAAGAATGCAGAGAGGAACATGTGACCCAGAGTAGGTCACTGGGGCACATATTAAGAATGCCGATTCTAAGGAATGAGTGCATTCTGATTGAAAACAGAAAGTGTAAAACTCTTAGCATTGTGAAGGATTTTCAGAACTTTCTAGATGCCTTCTTTAGTGCCCCTTACGCTTTTCCTTTGCTGCTTTCGTGCTGGAGAGAAAACCAGGGGAGAGGGGACATTTTCCAAGACAGCTGTCATGTCAGTCTTCTCTGGAAAAGGCTCAGATTCCAGAGGCCACGGGGGAACTCAGCCCAGCACGGCCCGGCAGGCCACTCGGCATTGGTGGGCACGTTCGGTGGCTGCGCTGCCCAGGACGGCGCCCCTGTCCACACTCGGGCTCTTGAAACTGTGGCCAGCGCCTGGCTGAATTTTTACTTTTATTTAGCTGATTCAAAGGCAAATGTAAAGTTTTATTTAACATAGCTTATTTAAATTTAAAAAATCAATACTTGATTCTGTTATTGGAAAACTCCTTTGTATGTTTGGAATAAATAACTTGAGGTTATGAACCTACATTTTCAGTGAGTCACTTTGTGAAACCCACCTCTATAGAGCAAGCGTTTCTGATTAAATTTTAGCATCTGAATTGAGACAGCCTGCACGTGTAGAGTACAGTGGCACTTCAGAGTCACAGTGTGGTAAAAATCCTGGAGAGGTGTCATTAATATTTTTTTTAGCATTGCTTACATGTTGAAGTGAAGTTTTTTAATATACCGGAGTAAGTAAAATACATTGACTTTCATGTTTCTTTTTACAGTTTTAGAGAAAATTTAAAACGCCATGTGTAGCTCACATATTTCTATCAGATGTTGCTGCTGTAGATCCTACACACCCTGGTCATCCAGCATGATGAGCTATAATTTGCCATCGCCCTTGACCTTCCAATGAAGTAGGCAGAACTGAGTACTTCTTACTGCATTGTTTGTTTAGGTTTCAGTCCTGGCATCACCTCCTCCTTGATTGTCCCAGACCCAGTCAAATAGCTCATTTTTTTTCTTTTCTTTTTTTTATTGTTTAAAGTATTACATATGTCTCCTTATTCCCTGATTGACCCCCGTCCCCTGCCACTGCCACCCCCCAGGAAAGGCCCCTCCACCCCAGTGTCTGTGTCCATTGATTATGCTAATATGCATGCATCCAAGTCCTTTGGTTGATCTCTAACTGCCCCCTCCCCTGCCTTCTCTTTTTTTTAGTATTGCTTACATGTTGAAGTGAAGTTTTTTATACACTGGAGTAAGTAAAATACTTTGACTTTCATGTTTCTTTTTGAAACATGAAAGTTGGTTGGACAGTCTTTTCAGTGTTACCTTGTCTCTGGATCTATTTTTGTTCATCAGTTTATGTCGTTCATTATGTCCACATATGAGTGA